CTTGTCGTTGTGTTTAAATACACACTATCTAATAATATTTATAACTAAGACTTAATAAAATACTAGTATAGAAGTAAGTCTTAGGTTGAACACATGGAGATTGATTAATCTATCGTGAAAACTAATTTAATTTATATATAAAATGATTTTAATATTTTATTAATACTTAACATAAATAATAAAATAGAAGGGTGAGGTGAGAAGAATAAAGAAAGGTGATATGACTTAGTTGTTGTATAGTAAATCACAAAAATTTAAAATTTATAAAACTAGAAAATATGAATTTTTGGATATTTAGAAATATTTCTGAACAAATATATCAATTATAATTTAATAAAACTTCCAAAAGTAGTAGTAATTTTTCAGGTCGATCATAGGGATATAATATAATATCAGATAATTATTCTGAATTTTTCTCAAAGAAAACTTTTTTCTATGAATTTTATACTAAGACATTAAAATAAAAATATATTTAAACATTATGAAAAAATAAATAAAGGTGTAGACATCAGGATGGCATCAACACCTACTGAATGCCAATCGAGCAAAAATAGAGTTCTGCCCAGCAATTTTTACATAAATGATTACAGATGATTTAATTGATCAATTAAGATTTGTAAAAGTTAGAAGAATTGTAATTGAATGAAATATATCTTGATAAATTTAAATCACACAAATTATCACAAAATGAAGTAGAAAGTAAGTTGAAAGCAGGAAAATAAGGTTCCGATGTCGCGGTGGTGATGCGTTGGTGATGCACCAGAATCTTGAGTGTTCGAGAGGATCGTTGTGTAGTGTTCATGGCTTTGAAGGCTCTCCTTAGACAAGGACGATGTGGACAATCTCTAGATCTCCTTGCGAAGTCTAGAGATCAATGAAATGAGTTGTGAAATTATCTCTAATAGCTGTCACCCAGCGGAGTGGAAAAATGACGACTTTACAACTTTTCAGCGGCTGTCACCCGACGAAGAAGAGTTGGATGGAGGTGAGGCGTGTGTTAGAGAGATTTATCCTTAGGTTTGCACAATAAGATGAGGCTCTTCATCACATCTGGTACACTCTCAGGAAGTGGCGACTCATCTCTTGACAGATTGTCCTCTTCTCGACGATAGCTTATTTGTCGATCAATCGAAGATACTTTACTTGATGGATTCACAATCCTTTTAGAGTGAATCATTTAGTAATTTTAGTAACAATGCTCTGTGAATCACATTGACGAGATTTTTACCGATGATCTAATGATTTTGGTTGCTTAATCCTTCACTGATGATTTGCAAGAAAGTTATGATAATCAAATAAAAAAATATGAGTTTTAGCTTTGAGAGGATTCGAACCCACACCGGTTGTCCACCTACATGAGAGAGATTGACATAAGTACTCTAATGCCTTTATCAAATGATGTCATTGTGGTATATCTCTATTATAAATAAGGAGTCTTTTAGATATTAAAATTATTGAACCCTTTATGGGAAAGGTGTGATGCAAGAAATAAGTCTTTATTATCATGAGTTAATAATTAATAAATAATATAGTTTTAGTCTTAACTCATGATAAATAGACTTATATTTATGTTAAAATATGAAAAATAGTTTTTAGTTGATTAACGTGAATTTTTGAGTAATTATGTAATTTTATATACATTTATATGATTTTTACAGTCTTACTTTTGAGATAAATGAAGGAAAAGAAATTAAAATAAAAATAGCAAAATGGGGGGGACCTACTGGCCAGCTAGGTCCACAAGTAGGTCGAAAGCATAGTCGAGTTGGAGCCGTGAGCAAGGGCTTGAGTGGTTTGAACCAATGGGGGCACGTGTGCGTCACTCCCCTTCTATGTCACTAGTGGCTAGCTAGCTGTGGGGTAAGGAGTGGTCGTACATGCATGAGAAAGGAACTTGATCGGAAATGTAATATTACTATATATTTGCCAGAAACTTTGGCACGCAACCAATGTGGGACTAAACCCGTGTCACCTTCCCCAAAAAGGGGCAGGCAACCAGCATGGGTTCGAATCCTCTTAGAACCAAAACTCATATTTTTTATTTAATTATCATGACTTTCTTACAGATTGCTAGTGAAGGATTAAGTAACTAGAATTATTGGATCATCGGCAAAAATCTCGTCAACACGATTCGTGGAGCATTGTTACTAAAATTACTGAACGATTCGTGATAAAAGGATTGCGAATCCATCAAGTAAAGCATCTCTGATTGATCAACAAACAAGCTGTTGTCAGAGAAAAGATGATCCGCTAAGAAATGAGTCACCACTTCTTGAGAGCGTACCGGATGCCATGAAGAGCCTCCTCTTGCTGCACAGACTTGAGGATGAAGTTCTCTGACATGTGTCCCACCTCCATCCAACTCCTCTATGTTGGGTGACAGCTACTGGAGAGCCACAAAGTTACTATTTTTCTACTTTGCTAGGTGACAGCCACTAGAGATAATTCGACGACCCATTTCATTGATCTCTAGATTTCGCAAAGAGATGTAGAGATTGTCTATGTATCCTTGTCCAAGTAGAGCCTTCGAGGCCGTGGTCACTGTACGAAAATCCTCCCGAACACCCAAGATTCTAGTGCATTACCAATGCATCGCCACCACGACGTTAGAACTCTGTTTTCTTACTTTCAACTTAATTTTCATTTCATTTAGTGATAATTTATTGATTTTAAATTTACCAAGATATACTTCATTTCATTATGATTCTTCTAACTTTTACAGATCTTAATTTGATCAACTAAATCATCTGTACTCGCTTACATAAGAATCACTAGGCGGAACTCTGTTTCTGCTCGATTCATGTTCACCGGACACTGACATCATCTTGACGTCCGCACCCTTATTTTTCTTTTTCATGAATTTTAAATATATATTTTTTTCATTTCCTAGTATACAATTCATAGAAAATAGTATTATTTGGGAAAGATTTTAATTAATTACTAGATGTTATATTACATCCTTGTGATTGACCTAAAAAAGTATTACTATTTTTATAACTTTTATTGAATTATAATTGACATATTTGTTTAGAAATACTTCTAAATATCTAAAAATTCATATTTTCTAGTTTTATAAATTTTAAATTTGTGTGATTTACTATACAACGGCTAAGTCATGTCAACGGGTTTAATCCCACATCGCTTGTGCACCAAAGTTTCAGGTGAATATAGAGTAATATTATAGTTACAAGCAAGTCCCTTTCTCGCGCATGTATGACCACTCCTTGCCCCACAACTAGCTGACCACTAGTGATGTGAATGGAGAGTGGCACACATGTGCCCCTATCAGTCCTAGCCACTCGAGCCCCTACTTGCGGCTCCTCTCCAACCATGCTTTTGATCCACTTTCGGGCCCAGCTGGCCGATAGGTCCCCCCATTTTACTATATTTTTATTTTAATTTATTTTTCTTCATTTATCTCAAAAGTAAGATTGTAAAAATCATATAAATTCGTATAAAATCACATAATTACCTAAAAAATTATTTTAATCAATTGAAAACTATTTTTCACACCTTAACATAAATATAAGTCAATTTATCATGAGTTAAAGCTAAAACTATATTATTTACTAATTATTAACTCATGATAATGAAGACTTATCAGAAGAGAAGTAGAGAAAAGGAAGGAGGAAAAGAAAGAGAGAAGAGAGAGAGAACAAAGAGCTCTCACAAGAGAGGGAAGGGATGAGATCTCTCATGAAAGGGAGAGAAAAAGAGGGAAGGAGAGAAATCTCATGTGAGACAGAGAGATAGAGAAAGAGAAGGAGAGAGAGGAAGATTGATCTAGAGAGAGAAAGAGAAGGAGATTGATTGAGAGAGAGGGAAAGAAAGGGTGAAATCTCTTGAGAGACAGAGAGAGAAGAGAGGTCTCACGATATAGGGAGAGAGAGAAATAAGACAAAAATGAAGGAAGAGAGAAATATGGTCAACCTATTTTCTTGGACGAATGTGTGCTCAAGGATTCACACACATGACATGAGGTTTGTCGTGAATGTCTCTAACTTATTTTAACCATTGAACGCTCATTAATCAAGCTTTAATCTTAGTGATTTCACATTTGAAAATAAAAAAAGTAATTATTTGCAGAACATTGGTGATAAATCTTCATTATTATGAGTTAATAATTAGTAAATAATATAGTTTTAGCTTTAACTCATGATAAATAGACTTATATTTGTGTTAAAGTATGAAAAGTGGTTTTCATTTGAGTAACATAAAATTTTGGTTAATTATGTGATTTTCTATAAATTTTATGATTTTTATAGTCTTATTTTTGAGATAAAGAAGAAAAAGAAATTAAAATAAAAATATAGCAAAAGAGGGGGACTTGCTTGCCAGCTGGGCCTGCAAGTAGGTTGGAAATGTAGTCGGCGGGAGCTGTGATTAGGGCTTCGAGCAGCTAAGACTGATGGAGGTATGTGTGCGCTACTCTCCTTCCATGTCACTAGTGGCCAGCCAGCTATGGGGTAAGGAGTGGTCGTACAATGGGAGAAAGGGACTCATTATTTGTAAATGTGATATTAGTATTTATTTACCCAAAACTTCTGCACACAAGTAATGTGGGACTAAATTCTCATCACATTTTCTTTCAAAAGGGTTTAAAGGTTTTAATACTTAAATTACCCTTTTGTTATAATAGAGATATATCATGATGATGTCACTTGATAAGGGCATTAGAGTACTTATTTTAATCTTTTTCATATAGGTACGCAATCGACGTGGGTTTGAATCCTCCTAGAGTCAAAACTTATATTTTTATTTGATTGTTGTAACTTTCCTACAGATCGTTGGTGAAGGATTAAGCCAACAAAATCATTGTATCATCGGTGAAAATCTAGCCAATGTGATTTACAAGGCATTGTTACTAAAATTGCTGAAGGATTCACAATAAAAGGATTACAAATCTATTGAGAAAATCATCTTCGATTGATCGACGAACAAGCTATCATCGGGAAGAGGACGATCCACTAGGAAATGAGTCGCCACCTCCTGAGAGCGTATTAGATGCGATGAAGAGCCTCATTTTGTTGTGTGGACTTAAGGATGAAACTCCTTGACATGTGCCTCACCTCCATCCAGCTCCTCTCCATCGAGTGAAAGTTGTCGAAGAGTGACAAAGTCGCTATTTTTCTGTTCTACTAAGTGACAGCCACCGGAGACAATTCAACGACCTATTTAATTGATCTCTAGACTTTGCAAGGAGATCTAGAGATTGCCTATATCTTTCTTGTCTAAGGAGAGCCTTCGAAGACATTGACACTACATGACAATCCTCTCGAATTCTCAAGATTCTAGTGCATCCCCAATGCATCGCTGCCACGATTGTGTTCGTTAGGCGGTGACGTCTACACCCTTATTTCTCTTTTTCATAAATTTTAAATATATTTTATTTTCATTTTATAGTATAAAATTCATGAAAAATTATATCCTTTGAAGAAAATTCTAAATAATTACCTTATATTTTATTACATCCCTATGATTGACCTAGAAAAATACTACTATTTTTGGATGTTTTATTTAATTATAATTGATATATTTATTCAGAAATACTTTAAAATATCTAAAAATTGGTATTTTCTAGTTTTATTATCTTTAAATTTACATGATTTACTATACAACAACTAAGTCATGTCAAATTTTAGTGCCATTGCTAGAGTTGTATTACATAACATTGAGTAATTTTCTATTTTTCTCTTAGAGTCCACAAAAAAATTAACTCTTATTTTATTTTTTTCTTGTCAAAAAAAAAAGGGGAATGAAGAGAAAAAAGGCAAGGACTAGAACATTTTGGAGGAGGGAAATAATGATTAAAATATTTCTTCAAATTTATAAATTTTTATGCATGATAGAAGATCCTTGCATCTAAGGCTAAAAAATCTTTTCACTATTTCATTCAAAACTAAAAATTCAAAAGAGAAATTAATTTTGATGGATCCAAAGGAAGTACAAGTCAAATTGAGAAAAATCCTATGACCATGAAAAATCATTATATCCTTAATTCATTTTAAAGAGCATCCAATATCTGAGTCCCATTAGCACTTACTATTAAATTTGAAATAAATCTAGAAAATTTTCAAATGCTCCCTAATTTTCACGAATTGCTATTAGAGGAACCTCATCAGTATTTAAAAAGATTTCATATGATCTGTGATTTAGTTAATCTCTCTCAAGTTACATTATAAATTATTAAGATGAAATTATTTTCTCATACACTTAGGGACAAAGCTAATCATTGGCTATCCACATTAAAATATGAGAAAACATATATGAAGTTTTTCTCAAAGGCCAGGAGAAATTTTACATGAGACATGAGAAAAATTCAAATATTTACTTAGAAAATATCTTCATCATACTATATCTTAGTGGTAGCTCAATAGAATTTTTTATGATGAATTATTAGAACAACATAGAAATATGATTGATTCTATATGTGGAAGAGCTTTTATAGAGAAAACTCTTGATAAGATTTACAATCCTTATGAGAATTTAAGTGAAAATTCTAGAGATCAAACCTCTTTTGAATTGTATGACAGGGATAAAAACAAAGGAATTTATGAATTGCATCATGATGATGTTTCTAATTTATGAAATGAGGTTAATCAGATTAATCAAAAACTAGAAAAACTTGATTTACTTATTAAGAATATTAGAAAGCCTTTTAACCCCCAATTTAATTCAAATAGTATATGTCCTATGTATGGTGAAAATAATTATTCTAAATTTCAATACTATAGTTTAGATGAATCATTTCACCCTATGTAAGAATAAGTGCAAGTAGCTCATGATTTTAATAGAAATAGGGATTTTTTTTCTAATTCTTATAATCCTAATTGGAAGAATAATTTTTCATGGAGAGACTCAAATAATATTCAAAATCCAAAAGCACTTAGACCTAATTCAGAACTCTAAATTTTGTCTAAAATAGGAAAAATTTTTTCAAAAAAATCAGTCATCTCAACCCAACCTGATGCTATGGAAATAATATAGTAAATGAGCCAAATCATGCAACAAATTATGAATCAAATGATGTTGCAGCAGAAACAAATTATAGAGGCTCTTGGGAATAAGAGAGAAGAGGGACAACTACCTAGTCAACCCATAGAAAATCCAAAGAATTATCCAACAATAGAATTTCAGTAATGGGAGTCTAGTAATATGAATCTAGGATAAAACCCATGAAATGAAAATGTTAGGATAGTGAATGCATTAGGAGTGAAAAGATTTTACCTGATCCTTATCCTCAAATATTAGAAAAAAGAAAAATATGGACAACCCAAACAAAATCAAATAGGAGTAGAAGAAGATTTTATAGATTCTACTAAGAAAATTCTAAAAGAGAGGACAACCATTCCATTTCCTAAAGCTTTAGAGCCTAGACAAAGAAAGAAAAAAGAACACAATGAAGAAATTAAGAAAATTTTACAACATGTGCAAATTAGTTTTCCTTTACTCACTATCATTGAACATATTACTGAATATGCTAAAGTTTTGAACGAAATGTGTACACCAAAAAAGACACATAGAATAGAAAAATTATCTATACATGCTAGTGATTTATTATTAAATCAATTACCACATAAATTGAGAGAGACTAGTGTCCCTTAAATTTCATATGATATTGGTGGATCTATTTCTTAGAATATATTACTTGACACCAGTGCTAGTATTAATTTATTACCTAAAAGTATTTATGATAAATTTATTATTTCTGATCTTAAATCTTTTACTATTATCTTATAATTTGTTGATAGATCAATAAAACGTCCTAAAAGTATTTTAGAAAATGTGATAGTGATAGTGATGGTGAGCGAGACCTGTTTCCATCAGCTTAGGAGACACTGATAGTTCGAGTTCAGCCCGATCGACGCACGAAGACGAAGGAGCCTGGCTTTCGCTACACGGCCTAGCCATTTGGGACAATGACATTCCACCTCCGTGACGACGACGAGCTTGAGCTCACCCGTATCTTTCTTTGTACTTTCACGTTGACTTGTTAGGCCTCGCATTTGTGTGTTAGTGGGCCCAATTCTATGTGTGTGTGTTGTTGTCTGTGTCTCCCTTTCTTTAAGGTTTTATTGGGTTTCTCTTTGAGGCCTGACGTGACTCAGTCGTTGTATATTAAATCACGCAAATATAAAATTTATAAAACTAGAAAATACGAATTTTCGGATATTTAGAAGTATTTCAAAATAAATATATCAATTATAATTCAATACAAATCCCAAAAATAGTGGTAATTTTCCAGGTCGATCATAGGGATGTAATATAATATCTGGTAATTATTCAGAATTTTTCTCAATGAGTACGATTTTCTTACGAATTTTATACTAGGAAATAAAAAGGAAATATATTTAAAATTCACAAAAAAAAAGAGGAAATAAGGGTGCGGACGTCAGGATGACGTCAGCGCCCGGCGAACGCGAATCAGGCGGAAACAGAGTTCCGCCCGGCGATTCTTACGTAGGCGATTACAGACGACTCAATTAATCAAATTAAGATCTGTAAAAGCCGGAAGAATCGTAGTTGAACGAAGTCTAGTTTGGTAAATAAAAATCAACAAAGTATCACTAAATGAAGCGTAAATTAAATTGAAAGCAGGAAAACAGAGTTCCGGCGTCGCGACGGCGATGCGTCGGCGATGCACCGGAATCCTGAGCGTTCGGGAGGATCGTCGTGCAGTGTCCACGGCCTCGAAGGCTCTCCTTGGACAAAGACGACGTGGGCAATCTCTAGATAAAGCAGGAAAACAGAGTTCCGGCGTCGCGACGGCGACGCGTCGGCGATGCACCGGAATCCTGAGCGTTCGGGAGGGTCGTCGTGCAGTGTCCACGGCCTCGAAGGCTCTCCTTGGACAAAGACGACGTGGGCAATCTCTAGATCTTCTCGCGAAGTCTAGAGACCAATGAAGTGGGTCGTCGAATCGTCTCCGGCGGCTGTCACCCGGCGGAGCGGAAAAACGGCGACTTTGCGGCTCTCCGGCGGCTGTCACCCGACGGAGAGGGGCTGGATGGAGGTGAGGCGCGTGTTAGGGAGCTTCATCCTCAGGTCCGCGCAGCAAGAGGAGGCTCTTCATCGCATCTGGTACGCTCTCAGGAGGTGGCGACTGGTCTCCCGGCGGATCGTCCTCTTCCCGACGACGGCTTGTTCGTCGATCAATCGGAGATGATTTACTCGATGGATTGCGATCCTTTTATCGCGAATTGTTCAGAAATTTTAGTAGCAATGCTCCGCGAATCGCGTTGACGAGATTTTCGCCGATGATCCAGCGATTCCGGTTGCTTAATCCTTCACCGGCGATCTGCAGGAAAGTCGCGATAATCAGTTAAAAATATATGAATTTTGACTCTAGGAGGATTCGAACCCGCGGCGGTCGCCCGCCCCTTACAAGGTGGATTTAGTCCCACATCGGTTGTGGGCGGATTATTCGGGCGAATATACAGTAAAGTTAGCTTTCTAGGCAAAGTCCTCTCGCGTGTACGACCACTCCTTGCCCCACAGCCGGCTGACCACCGGTGACGTGGAAGGGGAGTGGCGCACACGTGCCCCTATCGATCCAAGCAAGCCGCTTGAGCCCCTGCTCGCGGCTACTCCCCGACTGCGCTACCGACCCGCTTGCGGGCCCGGCTGGCCGGCGGGTTCCTCATTTTGCAATATTTTTATTTTTATTTCTTGTTCTTCATTTATCTCAAAACTAAGACGGTAAAAATCGTATAAAATCACATAATTACCCAAAAATTCACGTTAATCAACTGAAAACCACTTTTCATGCTTTAACACAAATATAAGTCTATTTATCATGAGTTAAGGCTAAAACTATATTATTTACTAATTATTAACTCATGATAATGAAGACTTATCAAGGCCCAATTAAAACCCTAAAGGAGGGGGAACTATGTGTCTTTCCTTTTGGGCCTCTTTTAGGGCTTATTTGGGTCTTCATTTGAGGCCCACTTAAGCACCATAAGAGGCCCCTCCTCTTTCTCCTTTTAGGGGAGCTTATTGGGTTTCTCTTTAAGAGGCCCAATAAGCCCCTTTTGTAGCCTTTGTGGCTTATGGGCTTGAGGGCCTCAAGTGGGCCCACCTCCCCTTAGCCCACTGGTGGGCCCCCATATAAGGGGAGGGAGGACCCTCCCTCAAGAGAGCGCCATATTTTTGAGAGAGATTATCATTTTATGAGTACCTTCTCCGTGATCTAGGATAGGGAGGGAAGGAGGAAGAGGAAGGCCGTCAATACCCCCTTCGAGGACTTCCTCCCTTGTGACGCTGCTGTCTAAGAAGTCCCACCACCGCCTGAGACCACTGCCACTGCCGGCTATTTCGTTGCCGCCCGGGAGCTCGCTGCTGTCACCGGACGAAACGGTCGCGGTTGCCGCTGCAGCCGCCGCCACCTCTGCTGGAACCCCGTCATGCCGTCGTGACGAAAGGGGCTCGCTTTGCCTCCCTAAGAGCCGTCGCCGAGCACTCCACTGGAGTCTCTCGACTCCTGGTTTGACTGCCGCCTCGTCCTCCGAAACTCCACCATAAACTTGCCAGAGCTGCCCTCCACCGCTCCGCCTAGTCGCTGGCCGTTTCGCTATCATTGGTGAAAATCTTGTCAACGCGATTCGTGGAACATTGCTACTAAAATTGCTGAACGATTCACGATATGATTACGAATCCATCGAGTAAATCATCTCCAATTGATCGACGAACAAGCCGTCATCGGGAAGAGGACGATCCGTAAGGAGATGAGTCACCACCTCTTGAGAGTGTACCAGATGCGATGAAGAGCCTCATCTTGTTGCGCGGAGCTGAGGATGAAGCTCCCTAACATGTACCCCACCTCCATCCAACTCTTCTCCGTCGGGTGATAGTTGCCGGAGAGCTGCAAAGTTGCTGTTTTTCCACTCCATCGGGTGACAGCCACCAGAAATGATTCGACGACCCACTTCATTGATCTCTAGACTTCGCGAGAAGATCTAAAGATTGCCCACGTCGTCTTTGTCTAAGGAGAGCCTTCAAGGCCATGGACACTGCATGACGATCTTCCTGAACGCTTAGGATTCTGGTGTATCGCCGGCGCATCGCCGTTGCGACGCCAGAACTCTATTCCTGCTTTCAATTTACTTTACGCTTCATTTAGTGATAATATTTGTGTTTTTAATTTACCAAAATATACTTTATTCTATTATGATTCTTCTGGCTTTTACAGATATTAATCTGATCAATTAAATCATTTGTAATCACTTACGTAAGAATCACCAGGCGAAACTCTGTTTCTGCCTGATTCGCGCTCGCAAGGTGCTGATGTCATCCTGACATCCGTGCCCTTATTTCCCTTTTTCGTGAATTTTAAATATATTTATTTTTTATTTCCTAGTATAAAATTTATAGAAAATCGTATTCATTGAAAAAAATTCTGAATAATTACTAGATATTATATTACATCCCTGTGATCGACTTGGAAAATTACTACTATTTTTAAAATTTTTATTAAATTATAATTGATATATTTATTTAGAAATACTTCTAAATATCTGAAAATTCATATTTTCTGGTTTTATAAATTTTATATTTACGTGATTTAATATACAATGACTGAGTCACGTCACTTGTGGTTAGGTTACATGGTTAGACCTAGAGTTTAGGGTCTAAACATTTTTATCAGATCGGTCTGACTACCCCATCCCGAGACTCGAGTTTCATAGATCGTACAAGGGGTTCTCGCCTCGTCTTGCATCAGATAGTTAAAGAGTGTAAGTTTCCAATTGATTTTGTAGTGCTAGAAATGGATTTTAATATAGACAGTTTTATGATATATCAATCATCCTAGGGAGACCACTTTTGCATGCATCAAAGATGAATATTGATTTTCTCACAAGTGTTGTGAAAATTTCATGTGAAGATCAATTAGTAGAAATTAAAATTTTTGAGATATCAAATGATCTTAAGAAATCTTAAGTATATGATTGTCATACCATAGATCTTCTAGATGATTTTGATGATCTAGATGTTATTGATGATTGTGTTGGAAGAATTAGAAGAAATAGAGAATATAAATTTGAGAGAAAAGAAAGAGGAAGATCATCTGAATTTAGAGTTGAAACCTCTTTTCTCTAGTTAAAAATATATGTTTTTAGAGGAAAATAATTTATTTTTTGTTATTATTACAATTGATTTGAGTGATGAACAAGAATAAGGATTATTAGATATATTTTGAAAAAATAAGAAGACTATTGGTTGAAAAATAGATGATCTTAGGGGTATTGATATTAGTGTATGCATACATAGTATATATCTAGAGGAGGCAAGAACTAGCAGGGAACCACAACAAATATTAAATCCTAACATGATGGAAATATTAAAAAAAGAAGTTTTAAAGTGGTTGGCTGCTGATATTTTTTTATACTATTTCAAATAGCAAATAGGTTAGTTAATAAGTCTTCATTATCATGAGTTAATAATTAGTAAATAATATAGTTTTAGCCTTAACTCATGATAAATAGACTTATATTTGTGTTAAAGTGTGAAAGTAGTTTTCAGTTGATTAACATGAATTTTTGGGTAATTATGGGATTTTATATGATTATTACACTCTTACTTTTGAGATAAATGAAGGAAAAGAAATAAAAATAAAAATATAGCAAAATGGGGGAGATCCACTGGCCAGCTGGGCTTGCAAGGGGGTCGGAAGTGCAGTCGGGCAGGAGCCATGGGCAGGGGCTCGAGCGATTTGAACTGATGGGGGCACATGTGCACCACTCCCTTTCCATATAACTGGTGGCCAGCAAGCTATGGGGTAAGAAGTGGTCGTACATGCATGAGAAAAGGACTTGATTAGGAATGTAATATTACTTTATATTCGCCATAAACTTCGGCACACAACCGATGTCCTAAACTCGCGTCACCTTTCCCAAAAAGAAGCGGGCAACCGACGTGAGTTCGAATCCTCCAAGAGCCAAAACTCATATTTTTTTATTTGATTATTACAACTTTTCTGCAGATCTCTGATGAAAGATTAAGCAACCAGAATCATTGGATCATTGGCGAAAATCTTGTCAATGTAATTCGTGGAATATTGTTACTAAAATTACTGAACAATTCACGACAAAGGGATGACGAATGCATCAAGTAAAGTATCTTTGATTGATCGATGAACAAGCTGTTATTGGGAAGAGGACGATCCGTCGGGAGATGAGTTGCCACCTCTTGAGAGCATATCAGATGCAATGAAGAACCTCCTTGACGTGACTCAGTCGTTGTATGTTAAATCACGGAAATATAAAATTTATAAAACTAGAAAATACGAATTTTCGGATATTTAGAAGTATTTCTAAATAAATATATCAATTATAATTCAATAAAAATTCCAAAAATAGTAGTAATTTTCCAAGTCGATCACAGGGATGTAATATAATATCTGGTAATTATTCAGAATTTTTCTCAATGAGTACGATTTTCTTACGAATTTTATACTAGGAAATAAAAAGGAAATATATTTAAAATTCACAGAAAAAAGGAAATAAGGGTGCGGACGTCAGGATGACGTCAGCGCCCGGCGAACGCGAATCAGGCGGAAATAGAGTTCTGCCCGGTGATTCTTACGTAAGCGATTACAGACGACTCAATTAATCAAATTAAGATCTGTAAAAGCCGGAAGAATCGTAATTGAACGAAGTATAGTTTGGTAAATTAAAATCAACAAAGTATCACTAAATGAAGCATAAATTAAATTGAAAGCAGGAAAACAGAGTTCCGGCGTCGCGACGGTGATGCGTCGGCGATGCATCGGAATCTTGAGCGTTCGGGAGGATCGTCGTGCAGTGTCCACGGCCTCGAAGGCTCTCCTTGGACAAAGACGACGTGGGCAATTTCTAGATCTTCTCGCGAAGTCTAGAGACCAATGAAGTGGGTCGTCGAATCGTCTCCGGCGGCTGTCACCCAGCGGAGCGGAAAAACGGCGACTTTGCGGCTCTTCGGCGGCTGTCACCGACAGAGAAGACCTGGATGGAGGTGGGGCGCGTGTTAGGGAGCTTCATCCTCAGGTTCGCGTAGCAAGAGGAGGCTCTTCATCGCATCTGGTATGCTCTTAGGAGGTGGCGACTGGTCTCCCGGCGGATCGTCCTCTTCTCGACGACAGCTTGTTTGTCGATCAATCGGAGATGATTTACTCAATGGATTCGCGATCCTTTTATGGCGAATCGTTCAGCAATTTTAGTAGCAATGCTCCACGAATCGCGTTGACGAGATTTTCGCCGATGATCCAACGATTCTCGTTGCTTAATCCTTCACCGGCGATCTGCAGGAAAGTCGCGATAATCAGATAAAAATATATGAATTTTGACTCTAGGAGGATTCGAACCCGCGCCGGTCGCCCCCGCCTCTTCTGAGGAAGGTGTGGGTTTAGTCCCACATCGGTTGTACGCCGAGTTTTCGGGCGAATATATAGTAATGTTAGATTTGTGAGCAAAGTCCCTTCTCTCGCATGTACGACCATTCCTTGCCCGACAGCCGGCTGGCCACCGGTGACGTGGAAGGGGAGTGGCGTACGCATGCCTGTCGGTCCCCAAGCCAAGCCACTCAAGCGCCTGCTCGCGGCTTACTCCTCGACTGTGCTTTCGACCCGCTTGCGGGCACGGCTGGCCGGCGGGTCCCCTTATTTTTTCAATATTTTTATTTTTATTTCTTGTTCTTCATTTATCTCAAAAGTAAGACTGTAAAAATCGTATAAAATCACATAATTACCCAAAAATTCACGTTAATCAATTGAAAACCAAAAATCATTCTTTAACACAAATATAAGTCTATTTATCATGAGTTAAGGCTAAAACTATATTATTTACTAATTATTAACTCATGATAATGAAGACTTATCACTCCTCTTACTACGTGGACCTGAGGATGAAGCTCCCTAACATGCGCCCTACCTCCATCTAGCTCCTCTTCGTCAAGTGACAGCCGCCAAAGAGCTGCAAAGTCGTCATTTTTCCGCTCCGCCAAGTGACAGCCGCCGGAGACGATTTGACGACCCATTTCATTGATCTCTAGACTTTGCAAGGAGATCTAGAGATTATCCACATTGTCCTTGTCCAAGTAGAGCCTTCAAAGCCGTGGACACTACGCGACTATTCTCCCGAATGCTCAGGATTTTGGTACATCATTGACGCATCGCCGCTACGATGCTAGAACTCTATTTTCCTACTTTCAACTTACTTTATGCTTCATTTAGTGATAACTTATGTGATTTTAATTTACCAAAATATACTTCGTTCAATTATAATTCTTCTAGTTTTTACATATCTTAATTTGATTAATTAAATTATCTATAATCACTTACGTAAGAATCGCCAAGCAGAACTCTATTTTTGCCTAATTTACATTCACCAGGCATTGACATCATCTTGACATCCGCACCCTTATTTCCCTTTCTTGTGAATTTTAAATATATTTCTTTTTCATTTCCTAATATAAAATTCATAGAAAATAGTATTCTTTGAGGAAAATTCTAAATAATTACCAGATATTATATTATATCCTTATGATTGACTTGAAAAGTTACCACTATTTTTAGAAGTTTTATTAAATTATACTTGATATATGTTTTCAAAAATACTTTTAAATATCTAAAAATTCATATTTTTTAGTTTTATAAATTTTAAATTTACATGATTTACTATACAATGACTAAGTCACGTCATTAGTCCTACACAAGTGGTGCCAAAAAAATACGAGATCATGGTGATAAAAAATGAAAATAGGGATGAAATACAAATAAGATTAAATACCGGTTGGAGGGTTTACATTGATTATAGAAAATTAAATTCAATTACTAGAAAAGATCATTTCCTCTATCATTTACTAATCAAATTCTAGAAAAATTAGCTGGATTTTTTTTTTAGTTTTTTGGATAGATATTTTGATTATAATCAAATTTATATATACTCTTTAGATCAAGAAGAAACAACTTTCACTTATCTATTTGGTACTTTTGCTTTTAAGCGCATGCCTTTTGGTCTATGTAATGCTCTAGCCACATTTCAAAGATATATGCTGTCTATTTTTTCTGATTTGATTGGAAAATACATCAAAATTTTTATGGATGATTTTTCTATTTTTGGTGAATCATTCGATGAATGCTTAAATCATTTACAACATGTACTTGAGAAATGTATAGGGAAAAAAATAGTTTTGAGTTGAGAGAAATCACATTTTATGGTTAGAGAGGGAGTTGTGTTGGGTCATATTGTAGGTTATTATAAAAAAATTATTTAAGATTTTTCAAAAGTTTCTAAACCTCTCACCATGTTATTATCTAAAGATGTGTCTTTTAATTTTGATGAGAAATGTTTTGAGTCTTTTTCTGAAATAAAAATATTACTTACTGAGGCACTCATTTTATAAGCTCCTGATTGGTCTCTTCCCTTTGAAATAATATGTGATGCATCAAATTATGCAATGGGAGCTGTTCTAAGACAAACAAAAGAGTCAAAACCTATTGTAATTTCATATGCTAGTAAAACTATATCCAATGCTCAATTAAATTATACAATGACTGAAAAAGAGTTATTATTTATAGTTTTTCTATTAGAAGGGTTTAGATCATATATTTTGGTAGCTGAAATTCTTATTTATACTAATCATGTAGCATTAAAATATTTATTAAATAAGAAAGATACAAAGCCACATTTTTTAAGATGAATTTTATTGTTGTAGGAATTTGACTTAGAAATAAAAGATAAAAAAGGTTTCGAGAATGTTGTTGCTGATCATCTTTCTAGATTAAGTGATACAAGAATAGATGCAGCACCTTTACAAGACGCATTTCTAGATGAATAATTGATGACAACTCAACATCAACCATCACCATGGTATGCACATATTGTTAATTTTCTGGTTTTTAGAAAAGTTCTAGAATGGTGGGATAAGAATAGAAAATATCATTTCTTTTCTAAGATTAGAAATTATTTTTGACATGATCTTGTTTTATATCACTTGGGCAATAATCAAATTTTAAGGAGATGTGTTCTTAAAGAAGAATATCATAACATTCTTAACATGTGCCATTCATTTAATTATGGAGAACATTTCTCTAGATGAAAAACAACTGCAAAAATTTTTCAGTGTAATTTTTATTGGCCTACAATCATTAGAGATTCTATAGAATTTAGTAGAACATGTATTTCATGCAAATCTATAGGTAACATGAGTAAAAAAGATGAAATACCCATGTGTAATATGTTAGTAGTCGAAATTTTTGATGTATGGGGGATAGATTTCATGGGTCTTTTCTTATCAGCTGAGAAATATGATTATATTTTACTTGCTGTTGATTATGTGTCTAAGTGGGTAGAAGCTATTCCTACTAGAACTAATGATCATAAAATCGTGATGAAATTTGTGTAAGAAAATATGTTTTCATGATTTAGATGTCGTAGAGTGATTATTAGTGATGGAGGAACATATTTTAAAAATAAATATTGTAGATAATTGTTGAAAAATAATGAAGTATATGATAGAGTAGCCACTCCATATCATCCCCAAACAAATGGGCAAATTGAAGTAGTAAATAGGGAAATTAGAGAATTTTGAGAAAAATAGTTAAACTAGATAGGAAAGATTGACCCACGAAATTATAAGATGCATTATGGGCTTATAAAATAGCTTATAAAAATCCCATAGGCATGTCTCCATTTCATCTCATTTTTGGAAAGCCATGTCATCATCTTGTGGAAATAGAGTATAAAGCATTATGGGTTATAAACAATTTATGTATGGATGAAAATCAGCTGGTGGGTATAGAATTTTTCAACTACATGAACTAAAAGAGTTGAAGAATAAAGCTTATGAAAATAATAGAATATACAAAGAAAAAACTTAAACTTTTCATGATAAATACATTAGTAGAAAAAAACTTAATGTTGGACAAAAAGTGTGGTTATATGATTCTAGGCTGAAATTCTTCCCAAGAAAATTAAAATCAAAATGGACAAGGCCTTATGTAGTGGAAGAGACATATAATTATAGGGCTGTAATGATTAAAGTTCCTAAAAGTGATCATAATTTAAGGTAAATGGATAGCAATTTAAACATTACATAGAACATTAATGTCTTGCATAATTTTTTTTTATTATTAAAAGAAATTAAGGAGTAAGATTAATGTGTCCAACTAGAGACATTAAATTCGGTGTTGCATGGGAGGCAACCCATGGTCTTTATTTCATTCTATGTTTTTTTGAACTCTATTTTTCTTAGAATTTTGTAGTACTTGTTTCTGTATTTGTTTTTTCTTTTTTGAAAAAGTGTAGGAGGACGAGTGTAAGATGAAATGCAAAATTAAAAACGAGGTTGAGGTGATGTGTTTCTGAGTTTTATCATTTATGATAACATTTTTAGTACTTAACTTTGCATATATGCATGCTTCACTTGAAAATTATATTTTATGCATATTCTGTTCTGATTTTTCTATGTCATTGAGGACAATATTATTTTAAAATGAGGGATGAAGTATTAATTCTTAATTTATGCTGTATGACGATTAAGAACATGTGTTTTGCAATTTTTCATGCTCACGTAGAACAGCAACTAATTTTTTTTAGAAAAACTACAACATCTTTTTTTTGATTTTTTGTCAAGAACAAGAGATTATCAAAAACAATAGAGAAAAACAGCCTAAAATTTGAAATTCTAGGGACCCTTTTCTCACATTTCAATCCCCTAGGCATATATTGCTGAAATTCGAAATTATAGTTATAAAAAGGATAGTGTTGATTTATTTTTGACAAATTTATTATTTCTAGAAACATAATTAAAAATAGAGGGTAGAACTGTCATAACTATTAATTTACAAATTTTTTACATCATATTGCATGCACGAAAAATTAAATCTATTAGATTGATTGATACTAAAAGATACTAAGAAGATTATTATTGAGTAAAAGCATGATTTAGTAGCATGAAATATTAGAATACTTCTTAGATATATGATAGATAATATGGATTTAATTTTACAGATTTTCACTTCATGATCTTGATGGATATTATTTATTTGATGTGAAAATTTGATTGATCATTTGAGTTTAATGGAGATTTTTACACCTTGATCTATAGGACTTTTGAGGAGAAATCACTTATTTTAAAAAAAAAAGAGAGAGAGAAATGTGAAAAATTTAGAAACGAAAAGTACACATAAATGGTGTGAGACATCATTCTCATTGTTGAAAAATACTTGCTAGAAAATAAGTGGATAAAGTGAAAGTTATGAAAATGAATAAGTACACATGGAGGGTGTGAGACATCATTCTTATTATTAAAATTTATCTACATGAAAAGTTATCCACTATATATAAATATAGTGGATAAGTAACTTTTCATAATACAAATTTCGACAATAAGAAGAAATATACTGTAAACTTCAAAAATCAAGCCATGGAAAAAGGAAAATGTAGGATCAATATTATTCTTGGATGAGTATTGATAACTGAAACATCTTGTAAACATATCTATGTGTGAAAAAGTGGTAAAGATGTGAATAGAAGAAGTGAAATCTAGATTGTTATTCCAAGGAGTGTTTAAATATTTAATTACTTGACATTATTTTTAAATACTTGGTATAAGAATCTAAAGTGTCTAAAGGTGCATCATTTTTAATTATATTTTTTTTATGTATTGAAATATAATATTTGAGATTTGTATCTTTTTATTTTTGTAATTACATTACTAAGGGACTAGCAATGATTTAAGTTTGGGGTGTGATAAGTGTTCATTATTATGAGTTAATAATTAGTAAATAATATAGTTTTAGTCTTAACTAATGATAAATAAACTTATATTTATGTTAAATTGTGAAAAGTGATTTTTATTTGATTAACGTGATTTTTTAGCTAATTATATGATTCTCTACGAATTTATATAATTTTTATAATCATATTTTTGAGATAAATAAAGAAAAATAAAAATATAGCAAAACGGGGGGACTCGCTGGCTAGCTGAGCTCGCAAGTGGGTTAGAAGTGCAACTTAAAGGAGCTGTGAGCAAGGGCTTGAGTGGCTAGGACCGATGGGGGCACATGTGTGCTACTCTCTTTCCATGTCACTAGTGGCCAACTGATTGTGGGGCAAGGGATGGTCATACACGTGGGAGAAAGAGACTCATTGCTTGCAAATGTGATATTAGTATTTATTCGCCCAAAACTTTGACACACAAGTGATGTGGGACTAAACTCGCGTTATACCTTTTCTCGAAAGACTTCAAAGGCGGGCAACTAATGTAGGTTTGAATCCTCTCAAAGCCCAAACTTGTATTTTTTATCTGATTATTACAACTTTCTTGCAGATCGCTGATGAATGATTAAGCCATCAAAATCACTAGATCATCGACAAAAATTTCATCAATGTGATTTGTGGAGCATTGTTACTAAAATTGCTGAATGATTCACGATAAAAGGATCGCAAATCCATTAAGTAAAACATCTCTAATTGATTGACGAACAAGTCATTGTTGGGAAGAGTTTGATCTACTGGGAGACGAGTCGCCACCTCTTGAGAGGAGATTAGATGCGATGTAGAGACTCCTCTTACTATGCAAACCTATGGATAAAGCTCTTGACACGTGCCCCACCTCTATTTAGCTCTTCTTCGTCGAGTGACAATCATCAGAGGGCCGCAAAGTCAATATTTTTCTGCTTCACTAGGTGACAGCCATCGAAGATGATTCAACGACTCATTTCATTATTTTCTAGACTTCACAAAAAGATCTAGAGATTGCCCACATTGTCTTTGTCCAAGGAGAGCTTTCGAGGCTGTGGACATTACAAACAATCCTCCTAAACACTAAAGATTCTAGTGGATTACCAACTGATAAGTCTTCATTATCATGAGTTAATAATTAGTAAATAATATAGTTTTAGCCTTAACTCATTATAAATAGACTTATATTTGTGTTAAAGAATGATTTTTGGTTTTCAATTGATTAACGTGAATTTTTGGATTATGTGATTTTATACGATTTTTACAGTCTTACTTTTGAGATAAATGAAGAACAAGAAATAAAAATAAAAATATTGCAAAAATGGGGGGACCTGCTGGCCAGCCGTGCCCGCAAGTGGGTTGGAAGTGCAGTCGGGGAGTAAGCTATGAGCAGGGGCTCGAGCGGCTTGGCTTGGGGACCGACAGGGCACGCGTATGCCACCCCCCTTCCACGTCACCGGTGGCCAGTCGGCTGTGGGGCAAGGAGTGGTCATATACACGAGAGAAGGGACTTTGCTTAGAAAGCTAACATTACTATATATTCGCCCGAAAAATTGGCGTACAACCGATGTGGGACTAAACCCCCGTCACAACTTCCTCAGAAGAGGCGGGCGACCGGCGCGGGTTCAAATCCTTCTAGAGTCAAAATTCATATATTTTTATTTGATTATCGTGACTTTCCTACAGATCGCCGATGAAGGATTAAGCAACGAGAATCGCTGGATCATCGGTGAAAATCTCGTCAATGCGATTCGCGGAGCATTGCTACTAAAATTACTGAACGATTTGCGATAAAAGGATCACAAATCCATCGAGTAAATCATCTCCGATTGATCGATGAACAAGCCGTCGTCAGGAAGAGGACGATCCGCCGGGAGACCAGTCGCCACTGAGAGCGTACCAGATGCGATGAAGAGCCTCCTTTTGCTGCACGGACCTGAGGATGAAGCTCCCTGACACGCGCCCCACCTCCATCTAGCGCCTCTCCGTTGGGTGACAGCCGCTGGAGAGCCGTAAAGTCGCTGTTTTTCTGCTCCGCCGGGTGACAGCCGCCGGAGACAATTCGACGACTCACTTCATTGATCTCTAGACTTCGCGAGAAGATCTAGAGATTGCCCACGTCGTCTTTGTCCAAGGAGAGCCTTTGAGGCCGTGGACACTGCATGACGACCCTCCCGAACGCTTAGGATTCCGGTGCATCGCCGACGCATCGCCGTCACGACGCCAGAACTCTGTTTTCCTGCTTTCAATTTAATTTACGCTTTATTTAGTGATACTTTGTGTGATTTTAACCAAACTATACTTCGTTAAATTACGATTCTTCTGGCTTTTACAGATCTTAATTTGATTAATTAAGTCATCTGTAATCGCTTATGTAAGAATCACCGGGTAGAACTCTATTTCCGCCTGATTCGCATTCGCCGGGCACTGACGTCATCCTAACGCCCGCACCCTTATTTCCTTTTTTTTGTGAATTTTAAATATAATTCCTTTTTATTGCCTAATATACAATTCGTAAGAAAATTGTATTCATTGAGAAAAATTCTAAATAATTACCAGATATTATATTACATCCCTGTGATCGACCTAGAAAATTTTGCTATTTTTGGAATTTTAATTGAATTATAATTGATATATTTATTTAGAAATACTTCTAAATATCTGAAAATTTGTATTTTCTAGTTTTATAAATTTTATATTTGCGTGATTTAATATACAATGACTGAGTCACGTCACCAACACATCACCGCTACGACACTAGACTATTGTTTTCCTACTTTCAACTTAATTTTCACTTCATTTAGTGATAACTTGTGTGATTTAAATTTACAAGCTATTTTTCATTCAATTATGATTCTTCTAGCTTTTACAAATGTTAATTTGCTCAATTAAATAATATGTAGTCGGTTACGTAAGAATCATTAGACGGAACTTTATTTTCAGTTAATTCGTGTTCGTTAGGTGCTAACATCATCTTGACATCCTCACTCTTATTTCCCTTTTTTATAAATTATATATATATATATTTTATTTTCATTTTTTAAAATATAATTCATATAAAATCATATTCTTTGAGGACTATTATGAAAATTTACTCAATATTATATTACATTCTTATAATCGACTAAAAAAATTATCACTATTTTAAGAAGTTATATTAAATTATAATTAATATATTTGTTCAGAAATACTTCTAAATATTTGAAAATTGGTATTTTCTAAGTATATGACGTGACTTAATTGTTGTATATTAAATCACCTAAATCTAAAATTTATAAAACTATAAAATACGAAATTTAAGATATTTATAAGTATTTCTAAATAAAAATATTAATTATAATTCAATAAAACTTTCAAAAATAGTGGTAATTTTTCAGGTCGATCATAGGGATGTAATATAATATTTGGTAATTATTCAGAATTGTTCTCAATGAATACGATTTTCTATGAATTTTGTACTAGGAAATGAAAAGAAAATATGTTTAAAATTCACAAAAAAGGGAAATAAGGGAGCGAATGTCAAGATGACATCAGCACTCGACGAATGCAAATCGGGCAGAAATAGAGTTCCGCCCGACGATTCTCTTCCTCTCCTTACTTTCCCTTTCTTGAGAGAGCTTATCCCTTCTCTCTCTCTTTTCCTCCTTCTTTTTCTCCACTACCCTTCTTTTATTCTTCTCACCTCACCCTTCTATTTTATATTTCTTTTAAATATGAATAAAATATTAAATCACTTTATATATAAACTAAATTAGTTTTCACGATGGATTAATCAATCTCCCTATGTTCAACTTGAGACTTACTTCTATATTAATATTTATTAAGTCTTAGTTATATTATTAGATAATATGTATTTAAACACAACTACAAGTTCACATCAGATCTCATGAGAGAAGGAGAGAGAAGAAGAGATCTCACAAGAGAAGGAGAGAGAAGAAGAGATCTCACAAGAGGAGGAGAGAGAGGAAGATAGAGAGAGATCGCATGGGAGAGGAAGAGAGAGAGAGATCTCATGGGAGAGGAAGAGAGAGAGATTTCATGAGAGAGGGAGAGAGGGGGAAAGATCTCACGAGAGAGAGAGAGAGAGAGATCTCAATAGAGAGAGAGAGGAAAAGGAAGAGAGGTCTCATGAGAGAGAGAGAAAAAAATGGTCATACTATTTTTATGGTGACCACAATTCTTGGAGAAATATGTGTTTGAGAATTCACACACATGACATGAGGTCAAGTGTGAATGTTTCCACCTTATTTCACACTTTAATACTCGTTAATCAACCTTTAATCTCACTAAATTTGTATTTGAAATTAGAAAAATAACTATTATTCACAGAATGTTGAAAACTCAAAATCTTCAAGATTCAATTATAAAAATCAATAAAATTAAGATGAATATGATCTCAGCTTTATCTCAGACAAGTTTTTAAAGATTTAAAAGTGAAATGAAAATAATTCATTAAGCTTTGAATCAGTTTTACCTATTTCTATTAGAAAATATAAAAGAATAAAAATAATTTGACATAAATTATAAATAAATAATGAAAACAGAAAAAGAAATATTGTCCAATGTTAGTCTACCTCTGAGACAATTGGAGACACCAATGTGGCAGCTTGATTTTGTTTGGATGTGTCACATCATACAAGAAATCACAAGAATACTGGTTGGAGGTGATGAACTCGAATTGAAGGTTAAATATGTCATCGTGATGCAACCAAGTACATGCAAATAATATTTAAAAAAACCTCACTCTTCTATTTAGGATAAGTAAGAATCAATCCTCAAGGACCATGGGTAATGAGAGTAACAGTTCTACTTAATTTATTTCTTATATATATATATACTTAAGATTGTGAAAGACATAATTGAATCTAGAAAGAGTAAAGAGAAGAGAAATAAAAAGTGAGGCAAAAGGGAGAGAATGTATCTAACATAATGAAATGATAGAATAAATGGTAACATTAGTTTGAACTAAGAGTTGATCTATCCATGGAGAGAATTATAAGGATGTCCCAAAATTAGATCTTGCACAAACCTTGTTGTGCGCTAGTCTTAGGCTAAGTGATGCTTGATCTATGATGATCTTGATGTGCTCTAGGTAATCTTTTCTACATGATGATCTTGGGCATGAGAATACCATTGATGAGGCCTTGATTTCCTTCTTATTTTCTTCAGCTAGCCACTTCTAGAGAGAGAACCAAAAAATGCCCTACAAGAGAGGGGCAAAATGTCTTAATCTTCTCAAAAATTAGGCCACTTCAAAAGATAGTTATGATTAATAATCAACTCTCTTAGTGAATGGCTCATATTCTTTTATGAGGGTGGTGCTCTAATCCTCCTCTTAATCTCATCTTAAAGTGCCTTAAGATGGGTGGCCTAGATCTCATCTCTTGATAGCCCTTTTAAATCTAAATGGGTTAGGCTAGAGTGACACCCTCTCTTGGGCCCATAAATATATTGGACCAGCCCTTTTCACAAGATTTAGGCTTCTTCCATTACTTTCAACTCATAATAAGAGCTCACCTAAGTACTTACAATCAAATAATTATCAATAAAATGTGAGAAAATCACTACTTAACTTCATAAAAGTTAAGTGGGGTTAGTCTCATAATATAAATAAAACATTATGGATGTTGCATCTATATGTATTAGGACTTAAATGATAAAACATTATGAATGTCATAATGAGTTGATAACATGTATAATTATATTATCTACCCACTAATTAGTATCTATATATAAGATATTAATGCATAGATGCAATTACTACTATAATTATTAAGAAGTCCTATATTGCTCGCTAAAGTGATCCATCGAGAAGAGGGGTTGAGTGCACTATCACCATCATCTGGGAGGAGAAGGGAGGAGTTGACCACTAACTAAAGGCTTTGTGTAGTCAAAGGAGAAAGGAACAAGCTCGCCAATTGGTAGAGGTGCTGATCACGCAAAGGAGAAGACGAAATGGATGTCATATTAGCAACTACCATTAGGATTTTAAAGATAATTGATAATATGTGTTTCACCATATGATAATTAATTATTATATTTATGTCTTTGATGGTGATACATGAAAGAATTTAAGTTCTCAATATATGCCATTTTACTTGTTTTTAGATCAGATCTCTAGTCGCATGGTGTTGTAAGCATTGTAGGATTAAACTAACATAAACTACTACTAACCTAGAACTTAAGTTTTCAATTTCATGATACTTCAATCACTACTAGATCAGCCTCATCTGGTCACATGATATGCTAAGTGCCGCAAGATCAAGCCATCATGAATTATTGACAATAAAGAGCTTTAAGTTCTAGATATCATTGATAATTATAAATTAGTAGTTGTATCTATGTATTAATATCTTATATATGGATGCTAATTAATGGGTAGAGAATGCAATCATACATTTGTTACTAACTCATTATGACATTCATAATATTTTATTATTTAAGTCATAATATATATTATTTTATTTATTTTATTTATATTATGAGACTAACCCACTTGACTTTTATGAAGTCAAGTGGTAATTTTCTCATATTGTTTTGATAATTATCTGATTCCAAGGACTTAGGTGAACTCTTATTATGAGTAAGAAGTAATGAAAGAAGTTCAAGTCTTCAACCCAAAGAAAAGCCCAAGTCTTATAGAGAGAGTTAGCCTAATATATTTATGGGCCCAAGAGGGGGCATCACTTTGGCCTAACTCATTTGGACTAAAGGGCTGGCTATCTAAAGATGAGATTTAGGCCGCCCATCTTAGGGTATTTTAAGATGGAATTAAGAGGAGGATTAGAGCACCACCCTCATAAAAGAGTATGAGTCATGATAAGTCTTTATTATCATGAGTTAATAACTAATAAATAATATAGTTTTAATCTTAACTCATGATAAATAGATTTATATTTGTGTTAAATTATGAAAAGTAGTTTTTAGTTGATTAATGTGATTTTTTGGCTAATTATGTAATTTATGTGAATTTATATAATTTTTATAATCTTGTTTTTGAGATAAATGAAGAAGAAGAAAATAAAATAAAAAAATAGAAAAAGGGAGGGACTTACCGGCCGGCCAGGTCAACAAGTGGGTCAAAAGCATAGTTAGGGAAGAGCCACAAGCAGGGGCTTGAGTGGTTATGGACCGATGGGAACACGCGTGTGCCACTCTCCTTCCACATCACTGGTGGCCAGCCGTCTGTGGGGAAAGGAGTGGTCATACATATGAGAGAAAATGATTCATTAATTGAAAATGTGATATTACTATACATTCCTAAAAGAACTTTGAAGATTTTAATACCTTCACTACACCTTATTTCTAATAGAGATATATCATGACAATGTTACTTTATAAAGACATTAGTACATGACGTGACTTAGTCGTTGTATATTAAATCACGTAAATATAAAATTTATAAAACTAGAAAATATGAATTTTTGAATATTTAGAAGTATTTCTGAAAAAATATATCAATTATAATTCAATAAAACTTCCAAAAATAGCAATAATTTTCCAAGTTGATCACAGGGATGTAATATAATATTTAGTAATTATTTAGAATTTTTCTCAAAAAATACTATTTTCTATAAATTTTATACTAAGAATTGAAAAGGAAATATATTTAAAATTCACAAAAAAAAGGAATTAAGGGTGTGAACGTCAAGATGACATCAGCACCCGACAAACGCGAATCGGGCGAAAACAAAGTTCCACTCGGTGATTCTTATGTAATCGATTACAGACGATTTAATTGAACATAAAAAGTATATTTAAGCTAGAAGAATCATAATTGAACAAAGTATATTTTGGTAAATTAAAAACATAAAAATTATCACTAAATGAAGCGTAAAGTAAATTGAAAGCAGGAAATAAAGTTTTGACGTCGCGACAACGATGTGTCGACGATGCACTAGAATCCTAAGCGTTCAGGCGGATCGTCGTGTAGTGTCTACAGCTTCGAAGGCTCTCCTTAGACAAAGACGACGTGGGTAATCTCTAGATCTCTTGCGAAGTCTAGAGATTAATGAAATGGGTCGTTGAATCGTCTCTGACAACTGTCACCCGGTGGAGCGGAAAAACAACGACTTTGCGGCTCTTCGGCAGCTGGATGGAGGTGGGGCGCATGTTAGGGAGCTTCATCCTCAGGTCTGCGCAGCAAGAGAAGGAGGCTTTTCATTGCATCTGGTACACTCTTAAGAGGTGGTGAGTCGTCTCCCGATGAATCATCCTCTTCCCATTGATGGCTTGTTCATTGATCAATTGAAGATGATTTACTTGATGGATTCGCGATCTTTTTATTGCTAATCGTTCAACAATTTTAGTAGCAATGTTCCGCGAATCGTATTGATGAGATTTTTGTTGATGATCTAGCGATTCTCATTGCTTAATCCTTTATTAGTGATCTGCAAGAAAGTCACAATAACTAGATAAAAATATATGAATTTTGACTCTAGAAGGATTCGAACCCGCGTTGGTCGCCCACCTCTTCTGAGGAAGGTGTGATGTGGGTTTAATTCCACATCGATTGTGCGCCGATTTTTTGAGCATATATATACTCCCTTCTCTCGCGTGTATGACCACTCCTTGCCCCAAAGCTGACTGGCCATCGGTGACGTGGAAGGGGAGTGGCTCACATGTGCCCCTATTAGTTTAAGCCGCTCGAGCCCCTACTCGTGACTACTCCTCGACTGTGCTTCCAACCCACTTGTGGGCCCGACTAGTTGGCAAGCCCCCCAATTTATGTAATATATTTATTTTTATTTCTTGTTCTTTCAAAAATAAGACTGTAAAAATTGTATAAAATCATATAATTATCCAAAAATTCATGTTAATTAACTGAAAACTACTTTTCATACTTTGACACAAATATAAGTCTATTTATTATGAGTTAAGACTAAAATTATATTATTTATTAATTATTAACTCATGATAATGAAGACTTATCAGTACATTTAGCAACATCAATAGTATAGTTCTAAAATATTCACTGTCCAATGTGACCCATAAATGGTCCATATAACAACAAAATAGTCTACTTAAGTAGAGAAAGTGATTGAAGTAGGTGGAAGGCTAGTACCAACATGCCCGTCCGATCCAAGCACGTGGCTTCTCTTGGCCTCACCTCCGAATTCGAATCTCTTGATGTCCACTTGGCCACGTTGATGCACATGTTGTCAGATCAGTCCCCAATGCTATTTTGAATGCAGTCCACACAAGGGGTCTACCGTCTCATTTATTGTTTTCCGAGGAGGTCGCTATCACAGCCCCCGGACGACCTGCTCCACATTGTGGCTACCATTTTCATCCAGGGACGGCGAGCTTGAACCCAGAGACATCGCAATGTTGGTGGGCAGAGAGAGCAAACCTGACCGATTCCAGCTGGTCGCTCAGCCTCGCTTTCTTTGCCTCACTCTAGAACCGTTATATGAAGCACCCACCACCTCCGATACCGGTGACTCAAACATTGCTGACGTCCATGGGACAACACGTGCAATTGGCGGCCGCCGTGCTCCTTGTCTTCCTCCTCACAGCGCGTTGGTACTCCGACGACCTGCGGGAGTTAGTCGAGGACGGCCCTCGGGTCGGACACCTTCTTCTTCAGACGGTGTACGGGCTCGTGTGGAGGCCGTCGGTCGACGTCCGCGCCGGAGACTATGGCGTGGGATATCCGCTGGCTGCCAACCTTTCCGCGTGCCACCCGTCGTTCACTGACGCCAATCGGCCGACTAACTGCTGCCCACTCAGGAGGGACGCCGACCAGAGGGTTATAGACTTTGAATTGCCGAAACTTGTTCAATCTCCTCTCCGGGTCCGCCGCGCGGCTCATCTCCTCAACAACGAGTACATCGCCAAGTACCAGAGGGCGGTGGCTATTATGAAATCCTTACCCTCGGATCACCCTCACAGCTTCTTCCGCCAGGCCAACAACCACTGCCTCTACTGCACGGGCTCCTACGACCAAGTCAACTCTTCGTTCCTGTTCAAGATCCACCGATCGTGGCTCTTCTTTCCGTGGCACCGCGCTTTCCTCTTCTTCCACGAGCGAATCCTCGGAAAGCTCATCGGTGACGACACTTTTGCCCTTCCTTACTGGAACTGGGACAACCCAGATGGGATGGTGATGCCAGAGTTCGTCAACGAAGGGGCTCTAAACAACGAGCAGCGCGACTACACCCACCTACCGTCCAATGTTGCCGATCTTAACTACCATGTGGGGGAGATCCGGCGGCAGCCTGAACAGCAGGTGGCTGTCAACTTGGCTTTCATGTACCACCAGATGGTGTCAGGCGCCAAGAAACCAGATCTATTCTTGGGTTGCAAGCTAACTGCCGGGCCTGAGGGTGCCTGCAACGGCCCGGGGACAATCGAGGGCGCCCCGCACAATACCCTCCACACTTGGGTCGGAAGCGGCCTCAACCCGGAAAGAGAAAATATGGGAGCCTTCTACTCCGCAGCACGCGATCCCATTTTCTACCCCCACCACGCCAACATCGACCGCTTATGGGAAGTGTGGAGAAAGCTAAGAGAATCGGCCGTGCCGGACTTCACTGAGTCAGCCTGGCTCGACTCCTCCTTTACCTTCTATGATGAGAACCTTCGGTTCGTCAGGATAAAGGTTCGCGATTGCCTCGACATAGCAAAGCTGGGGTATGCCTACCAAAACATCGATCTACCGTGGCTCCAGGCCCGACCAAAGCCGGCTGTATCACCAGAAATAGCGCGCAATATTCTCAAAAAGAAAGAAGCAATGGACAGGCTTCTCACGCCGGCTAATCTTATCAGAGAGGCCGCGTTTTTCGGCAACCAAGAACGAGCACTTGAGTCTACAGTCAGAGTTAAGCTCCATAGATCCAGGAGGAGCCGATCACAGGCGGAGAAAGCGGATGAAGAAGAAGCGCTGGTGGTGTACGGGATTCGCGTGAAGGGCGACACGTACGCCAAGTTTGACGTGTTCGTCAACCTGGTTGCTGATGAGGAGACGACTGGACCCCTAGCAAGGGAGTTCGCTGGCACCTTCGTCAACATGCCACGGGGCGCGAGAAGGGTGCCCCCGGAAAGCAGCCAATCTGATGTGTTGATGAAGAAAACGCTGAAGCTGGGAATCTCGGAGCTTCTGGAGGACCTCGAAGCTGATCAGGACGACACCGTGTGGGTGTCTCTGGTGCCGAGGGGCGGCACTGGGGTGAACATAACGGTGGAGGGCGTTCGGATCGAATTTGTGAGGTGATTTGTCGGATCACTCTTTCCTTCGTTGTTCGTCTAAATGCTTGTCTAGGGTCAATATACTGCACATTGAAAATCGGCAATTGTCGTTAATGTCAAACAGTTAATTGGCGTGCGCTGAGGTCTGATAGATTAATTAATGCGCCAAAAACCTATATGAAATTACTTGGATTCGAGTGTTCTGTTACGGCTGATTAAACAATGCAAATCAATGTCGCCAGATTATCCCGAAGGGTGTTTAGCCTGATATCAATGTGCTGGAGAAAATAAATATAAAATAACTTTCAACAGTAAGTTAAAGCAATATGCAACAATTTTTTTGGTCAGCTGTAAAATCTAACATTAGAAAATTAAGTTGAAGTAAAATATCAAAATAGAAAATGCAAGAAAGGGATTTTTTTTTTTTACCTTTTACTCTATGACCTACTATTTTACCCCCCTAAGATTGTTCTTTGATATCACAACAAGGTTGCTAGCTTTAGGAGCATTTATAGTTTTGATGATGCTAAAGGGAAATATGATAATATTAGAATGCTTGAATTATGCTACACACTAAGTATAAATCAAAATAAAACGAAATCCTTTTCAAATCTATGAAAATATTTGCAACTTTAAAATATTATAAATACACTTGAAAACAATCAAAAACATTTTGTATGTAAGTTTTTTCATACACAGATAAATATATTATTTGGGAAGATATTGGAGGACAAAAATGATACAATAAATAATGTGTTAATATCCAAGAGTTGTGATATTCTATGAATTTTTAAAACATTAATAAGCATTTTAATAAAGCTTAAATCCAATTTGTGAAGCTTAAATACCCAAGGGTTTTCTTTTTCTAGTTGTTGAAAATGAGTGAGAGACTTTTTATAGCATGTTATCATATTAAAAAATAAAAATTTATTATTTCTTTGAGTATTTCATGAAGTTTAGTATTTTAGAGAATTTTTCAAAATTTTTCTTTGAGTTTTATAGTCATAATTAATTTTTTTATTAATATGAGAGAATTTCAAAAATTTTTGATATCTTTTTATGATTTTTAGGAAGCCGATATATGCTTCGACAAATAAGATCTTATATGTGGAGATGAGGTTTAAAATTCACAAAAAGAGAAATAAGGGTTTCACCTAACATCAATTGTCCAACGAACATGAATTGAGCATAAATAGAGTTTCACCTTATAATTCCTACATGAGTGATTATAAATGATTTAACTGATCAAATTAAGTTATGTGAAAGTAAGAAGAATTTTGATGTAGGATGGGGCGAGAACCCCTTGTACCTAATCAATGAAACTCGAGTCCTGAGATGGGGCAGTCAGACCGATTTAATAAGAAGGTTTGGACCCTAGACTCTAGGTAAGACCACATAACCTAAGCACAAGCAAGCACACCAATATGCACGATCAATCTAGGACAACCCGGATAAACACTCGACGATGGTAAGCGTGAGGCCCTCTCGGTCCACGTTTGAACAGATGGTGGAACAGTCGTCATGAAATAGCCTAAGGCTACATCTCACGAATGGTGGTGAATCTAGCACAGCGTCGGAAGTCATGATCTGATAACCGTCCTATCCTGTCTACGTTCTCCGGATGGTGGAGGAGATAAGCCAAGAAAACCCTTCGAGAGATAATTAAACTTAAGAGGAAGGGGTACGGAGCAAACCTTCGGGGCTGCATAGCCTAGCGGGTCGTGACGAAGTAAAGATTTGACGAAGGCAGAGACGTCCAGTGAAGAGCGATGCTCAGTGTCGACGGTCGGTCCTAGTCGAGAGTCATGGAAGTCGTCGTCTTAGGATGTGGCACAATCGGTGTGGGTGTGGGCCTGCAGGTGGGCCAAAGGGCACGCTAGCGGGCATGGGCCCACTGGTTGGCCGAAGGGCACGCTAGTGGGCGCGCACGGCAAGCCGCGCGGCATTCCCTAGGGCACGCAGGCAGTGGTGCCGGGTGGGCGCGCGGGCTGCAAGAGCCAGCACGCAGCGGCAGCACTTCGGCGGGAAGGCCGAGCGTCTGTGGCGCTTCGGCAGGATTGCCAAGCATCAGCGGCGCTTCGGTGGGAATGCTGAGCATCGACGTTCGGCGGGAAGGCCGAGCGTCAGCGGCGCTTTGGCAGGAATGCCGAGCATCAGTGGCGCTTCGGTGGGAATGCCGAGTGTCAGCGGTTGGGCGGAGACCCAACCGTCGCCGAAAAGGTCGGCCTTCTCTGGTGGCGCTGGGAAGCGGAGCAAAGGAAGGAGACGATCCGGCCGGCAATACTAGGGAGGGTGGAGCCCTCCTGGTCTAGGCGGCGCCAGAAACGGCGTGACGGCGGCGGATCGTCGGAAAACTCCGGCGGGGGCCTGTGCAGAGCTTGGACTGGATCTGGCTCGTCGGCACGGCAGCAGGGTCTCTTCCGACGTCGGTGGTAGGTCGGCGTTCGTCGGCAAACGGCCAGCGACTGGGCGGAGCGGCGGAGGACAGCTCTGGTGAGTTTATGGTGGAGTTCCGGAGGAAGAGGCAGCTGTCGAACCGGGAGTCGAGAGACTCTGACGGAGTGCTCGGCGACAGCTCATGGGGAGGTGAAGCGAGCCCCTTTCGTCACGATGGCGTGACGAGGTTCCAGTAGAGGCGGCGGTGGCTGCAGTGGCAACTGCGACCATTTCGTCCGGTGACGGCGGCGAGCTCCCAGGCGGCAATGAGATGGCCGGCGGCGGCAGTGGTCTTAGGCGGCAGCGGGACTTCTCGCGCAGGAGCGTCACGAGGAACGAAGTCCTCGAAGCAGGACTTTGACGGCTTTCCTCTTCCTCCTTCCCTCCCTATTCTAGGTCATGAGGAAGATAACTCACAATGATAATTTCTCTTAAAAATACGGCGCTCCCTTAGGGGCCCACAAGTGGGCTAAGGGGAGGTGAGCCCACTTGAGGCCCTCAAGCCCATAAGCCACAAAGGCTACAAAAGGAGAAAGAGGAGGGCCCTGTTACGGTGCTTAAGTGGGCCTCAAATGAAGACCCAAATAAGCCCCAAAAGAGGCCCCAAAGGAAAGACACATAGGTCCCCCACCCTTAAGGTTTTAATTGGGCTTTAAAAGAGAGACCCAATAAAAACCCTAAAGAAAGGGAGACACAAACAACAACACACACATAGAATTGGGCCCGCTAACACACAAATGCGAGGCCCAACAAGTCAACGTGAAAGTACAAAGAAAGATATGGGTGAGCTCGAGCTCGTCGTCATCGTAGAGGTAGAATGTCGTTGTTCCAAAGGGCTAGGCCGTGTAGCGAAAGCTAAGCTTCTTCGTCTTCGCGTGTCAATCAGGCTGAACTTGGACTGCTGGTGTCTCTTGAGCTGATGGAGATGGGTCCCACTCGCCATCAATTATAATTTAATGAATAAGAGTTTTGAAACTTAAAATCATCTAAAGTATTACTAAATTAAGTAAAAAGTAAGAAAGATATAGTTTCAGACTTGCAATAATAATCGTCAAAATTCTATGTTCAGGAGAATTATTGAGCGATGTCTATAGCCTTGAAGGCTCTCTTTAGACATAGATGACTTGGACATTATCTAAGTCTCCTTTTGAAGTCTAAAAAATGATGATGAAAGTTAATCTAGTTAAAAATAGTAAAATAGAATTTAAAAATGACGGTGACAATGTGTCAAAATTTTAAGTATTTGAGGGAACTATTTTGTAATATCCATGGCCTCAAAAAAAATTCTTAAACATAGATGATGTGGACAATCTCTAAATCTTCTTGTGAAGTCTAGAAATTAATGAGGTTGATAAATTATCTTCAATGATTATCACTCACTAAAGTGAAAAATGACAACTTTGTAGATCTTTAGTAGCTATCACTCAACAAAGATAAGTTGAATGGAGGTGGAGCATGTCTTAGGAAGTTTTATCTTTAGGTCTGCATAACAAGATGAGGCTCTTCATCACATTTAGTACACTCTCAAAAGGTGATGATTCGTCTCCCCATAGATCATCTTTTTCTCGATAATGATTTATTTATCGATAAATCAAAGATAATTTACTTGATAGATTCACAATCCTTTTATTTAAATTATTTAGCAATTTGTGGTAACAATATTTTATGAATTACATTAATAAGATTTTCACCGATGATTGAGCAATTCTAACAAATTAATTATTGATTGATGCTTTATAAGAAAATCATAATTTAATTAGATAAAAATATGAGTTTGACTCTAGTGGGATTTGAACTTTCACTGGTTGCCTAACTATATGAAGGAGAGTGAAAAAAGTATATGAATACCTTTCAAGAAGGTGATGTCATAGGGGTATCTGATAAGTCTTCATTATCATGAGTTAATAATTAGTAAATAATATAGTTTTAGCCTTAACTCATGATAAATAGACTTATATTTGTGTTAAAGAATGATTTTTGGTTTTCAATTGATTAACGTGAATTTTTGGGTAATTATGTGATTTTATACGATTTTTACAGTCTTACTTTTGAGATAAATGAAGAACAAGAAATAAAAATAAAAATATTACAAAAATGAGGGGACCCGCCGGCCAGCCGTGCCCGCAAGCGGGTGGGAAGCACAGTGGGGGAGTAAGCCACGAGCAGGGGCTCGAGCGACTTGGCTTGGGGACCCGACAGGCACGTGTACGCTACTCTCCTTCCACGTCATCGGTGGCCAGCAGACTGTGGGACAAGGAGCGGTCATACACGCGAGAGAAGGGACTTTGGTCACAAAGCGAACATTACTATATATTCGCCCGAAAACTCGGCGTACAACCGATGTGGGACTAAACCCACACCTCAGAAGAGGCAGGGGCGACCGGCATGGGTTCAAATCCTCCCAGAGTCAAAATTCATATATTTTTATCTAATTATCGCGACTTTCCTGCAGATCGCCGGTGAAGGATTAAGCAACGAGAATCGCTGGATCATCGGCGAAAATCTCGTCAACGCGATTCGCGGAGCATTGCGATGAAGAGCCTCCTCTTACTGCGCGGACCTGAGGATGAAGCTCCCTAACATGCGCCC